GACGCGCAGAGAGGTTGGGCGCGTCTCCCGAACGGGGAATGCGCGCAGAGGGGGGGTGGGCGCATCTCCAATGAACACAAACTGCAATGAATGGAGTGTCTAACGCTTTCCTGCTACATTTAAAACCAAAAAAAGGCAATTGGCTTTTTATGAGTGGACTGTGAAGCTTTTGGGGGTCTGACGATGTGCATTTTCTGCCGCTGTGTGTCCTAATAACGCTGCTTCTCTATTAGAGGCGCGTCTCTCCTTATTTTCTGTCTGCCATTAAATAAGTTGCAGAGGAGCAAAGAAGCCCCGGAAATGATGTAATCTTTGTAATGTGGGTATATTCAGAGGTGGCCCTTTCTGGGGTAGGGTATTGGGGTGGTGGGGTATACAAGTGGCCCCCTTGGGCAGGGAAAGTCAGTTGATGGTGAGGAGAAAACTGACTGGCCCTTTTAGATGTGCTAATGCCGCTGTGTATTTTTCTGCTCATAGCATGGACCCATTCATATGACTAATTTAGGTACAGGCTTCCCGGCCCAGAGCAAGGCGGACGCTCCAGCAGCCAAAGTCGAAGCAACCTGCAGCAAGGATCGCGAGAGGGACAGGTGAGAGGAGAACACAGTCTGGTGTAAATGGCGGACCATGAAGTTGGTAGCAGCCAAGACCTCTACCCGGGGTGCCCATTAGGTCAATCGCAATCTGTCAATCATTTGCAAAGCTAACGCTGGTAGATCGCAAGTCTGCTCCCTCCCGCGGTGCTGGTGCAGCCAAATGTGTCGGACGCTGCAGATAGGGAGGAGCATAATCCACCTCCCGACCAGGTGAGTCTGACATATTCGGCCGCACTAGCACCCCAGGAGGACAGGACAAGACACTCTTCCCCCAAGACGCATGGTATTCGGCCACTGTGGGGGTATGAGGGCCATGGACTATTTGTTCGTGGCAGAACTTGTTGGGCAATACAGCACAGTGACTAAGACTTTGATTTTGTTTCACTAGAAAACCCAGTTAGTATAATCGGATGTTGATTAAGCATGACGGCCAGTGGAGACAGTCGGGGGGGGAGAACGAGGAGAGCCGGGTGGGGAAC